AGTTCATCATTCAGTCTGGTATGAGTGGTATTGGTAAACTATTACACATTCAGTCTCGGTATGAGTGGTATTGGTAAACTAATACACATTCAGTCTGGTATGAGTGGTATTGGTAAACTAATACACATTCAGTCTGGTATGAGTGGTTTTGGTAAACTAATACACATTCAGGCTGGTATGAGTGGTATTGGTAAACTAATACACATTCAGTCTGGTATGAGTGGTATTGGTAAACTAATACACATTCAGTCTGGTATGAGTGGTTTTGGTAAACTAATACACATTCAGTCTGGTATGAGTGGTTTTGGTAAACTAATACACATTCAGTCTGGTATGAGTGGTATTGGTTAACTAATACACATTCAGTCTGGTATGAGTGGTATTGGTAAAGTAATACACATTCAGTCTGGTATGAGTGGTATTGGTAAACTAATACACATTCAGTCTGGTATGAGTGGTATTGGTAAACTAATACATATTTTGTCTGATATGAGTGGTATTGGTAAACTAATACACATTCAGTCTGTTATGAGTGGTATTGGTAAAGTAATACACATTCAGTCTGGTATGAGTGGTATTGGTAAAGTAATACACATTTAGTCTGGTATGAGTGGTTTTGGTAAACTAATACACATTCAGTCTGGTATGAGTGGTATTGGTAAAGTAATAAACATTCAGTCTGGTATGAGTGGTATTGGTAAACTAATACACATTCAGTCTGGTATGAGTGGTATTGGTAAACTAATACACATTCAGTCTGGTATGAGTGGTATTGGTAAATTAATACACATTCAGTCTGATATGAGTGGTATTGGTAAAGTAATAAACATTCAGTCTGGTATGAGTGGTATTGGTAAACTAATACACATTCAGTCTGGTATCAGTGGTATTGGTAAACTAATACACATTCAGTCTGATATGAGTGGTATTGGTAAACTAATACACATTCAGTCTGGTATGAGTGGTATTAGTAAACTAATACACATTCAGTCTGGTATGAGTGGTATTGGTAAACTAATACACATTCAGTCTGGTATGAGTGGTATTAGTAAACTAATACACATTCAGTCTGGTATGAGTGGTATTGGTAAACTAATACACATTCAGTCTGGTATGAGGGGTTTTGGTAAACTAATACACATTCAGTCTGGTATGAGTGGTATTAGTAAACTAATACACATTCAGTCTGCTATGAGTGGTATTGGTAAACTAATACACATTCAGTCTGGTATGAGTGGTATTGGTAAACTAATACACATTCAGTCTGGTATGAGGGGTTTTGGTAAACTAATACACATTCAGTCCGGTATGAGTGGTTTTGGTAAACTAATACACATTCAGTCTGGTATGAGTGGTATTGGTAAAGTAATACACATTTAGTCTGGTATGAGTGGTATTGGTAAAGTAATACACATTTAGTCTGGTATGAGTGGCATTGGTAAACTAATACACATTCAGTCTGGTATGAGTGGTATTGGTAAACTAATACACATTCAGTCTGGTATGAGTGGTTTTGGTAAACTAATACACATTCAGTCTGGTATGAGTGGTATTAGTAAACTAATACACATTCAGTCTGGTATGAGTGGTATTAGTAAACTAATACACATTCAGTCTGGTATGAGTGGTATTGGTAAAGTAATACACATTCAGTCTGGTATGAGTGGTATTGGTAAAGTAATAAACATTCAGTCTGGTATGAGTGGTATT